AGCAAAATATTTCTACATTTTTAAAACTAGGGCTTTAATACCGCTCTGGGTGTCTGACACAAAAAGCAATAAATCACATTAACAACTAAAACAAACTTAATAATTTCCTTTTGTATGATTTAACGTTTTGTCTTTTCTCTCTTTCTACCAAAAACTAGACAATAAAAGTTTTCAGTCGGGTGATTTATTGCTAAATTATTATTTTAATAATGAATCAATCGTGATAAATCGTTCCAGCCCTGTTTGGGCTGCAGTCTCTGCATGTTGGTTAATGTTCTCACTCTCTGCTCCTGGACTCTCATCTCCCTCTCCAGCAGCTCCGACATGTAGCTGACAGCCAGAACGACGTGGTTCACGCCGGCCTGCAAACACGCACAGAGACGCAGGAACACGGCGACCGATCAATAAGGGTCATCATGAACCCGTCAGCAGACTCGGCGCAGCTCCTCCTCACCTTGACCAGCGCCTCCACCTGGTGCAGCAGGATGGGCTTGTTGCAGAACTCCACCAGCGGTTTGGGGACGCTCAGGGTGAGCGGCCGCAGCCGGGTCCCGTAGCCCCCAACCAGAATCAAAGCCTTCATCCTTCAGTCGTCAGCAGCAGGAAGCAGAGGAGGAAAGAGTTCATCAACAGCGCGGCGCAGCCTGCGGAGGAGAGGAACGTTACAAATATGATTTTAAAACCTTCACAAGCTCAAATGACAGGATCAGAGCTAAATAGTTACATTTACTCAAATACATCAACTGTTTTGAAAAACAAAATGTACTTTCATGTATATGTTTACTACGCTGAACTTTTTACTTTTACTTGCGTAATTTTATTATGAAGTATTTTTACTCATGAGCAAAATTTCTGGATTTTCAACCCACTGAATGAAAAACAAACATGTTTTAACCAAAAATCCACCAGACAGACAAAGTTTCTGTTAAAGTTCATAAGTTTTATATTGAAAGAAACTGATTTGGAAAAACTATTTTTTACTTACATGAATTATTATCATTCTGGTCCTTAAAATATCAAAATTCCACTTAACTTTATACTTCGGTAAATATGTAATTTTTAAAAAATAAATGATTGTTTTCATCAGTTACTCAGTTAGCCAAACACTTTTACTCTTACTTGAGTAATTTCTTGGTCAGTTACTTTTTACTTTTACTTGAGTAAAAATATGCTGAAGTGATGCTTCTCTTATGTGAGTGCAAGTTTTGGCTAATCTCCTCACCTCTGGGTAGGATTAATTATTTTCCAATTAAATTGCTGCTTATCATTATGATGCGTTTCTCCAACTAATTAATAAATAATAATAAAGTTAGCAACATTTACAGAATAACTGCTGCAGGTGGGATGCAGAAACTGGACTGAACTTTGCTGAAACAGATAAAAAGACATCCATAACAAATAAAATTATAATATATTTTAATCATGTCAGTTGATGACTTCTAATATAAATAACTGCTTTTAACAACTAAGACAATCTAAGAAAATCTAAGACAAACATTTTGTTGCTTTTTATTTTAACCAGAATAAGGAAATATTTGTCTGAAATGGTAAATGTTATAATTAAAACTCTTCAAATATATTTGCATCATTGCTCTGATCTCTAAACATGTGATCTGTTGAAGCAGGATACCAGACTAAAAACTAAAAATAAATTCTGGCTGTTCAAAGCAGCAGCTTATAGAAATATAATTTTGAAAATAGAAATGCTACAAAACTGATCTGAACACCTGAAGTATGAGGATACTTCAGGGTGAGGATGGGTTGGCACAAAAACATGGTTCTCCACAAAAATGTTTTAAAACTTTCCTAAACAGCCTTTAAGGTTTCTTAAATTAATAATAAAAATATAAATATCAAAATTATTTTAAGTAGGATGTTTCCCAGTTGATGAAGACATTCATGGCTAAAGTGGGACCTCGAGTGTCATGATTTAATCTATTTATCAGGATCTGTTTTAGTAAATGTTGCTGACTCAAAGTGTGACAGTTTCATCAGATCATGTCAGAGATCCGTCAGCGAAGTTCCACTTAAAATAAACTTGTGATGTATAAATGACACAAAAGCTCTTTTAAATAATAATAAAAAAAATGGCTCAACTTAATAAAGGTAAAACACTATTTGTAAGGATTTGTAGAATCTTCATTCTTTTTTGCAGTTGTTCTTGATAAATCCTTAATTTACACTTATATAAAAACAGGCAGAACTTTAATGACCAGAACGTTTAATGGTCTTCATGGATTGCTTCCCCCCTTAAAGTAATTTTATGGTTTATAACTAATATATTTTAAGACGATATTTGGCTTTAATTATCGTTTCGGTTTTATAAAACAGAGCTAATGGATGTGCAACATATTTTAAATCGTAGATGAACAATATTTAAAGCCTAACAACAACCCGAAACAAACTGGACACTAATTTCTGCACAACACCAGAAACTAATTTAACAGTTTCAGCAAACACAGATAATTAATCATAAACAGTGGAGATTAAACTATGAAACTTTTATGTTTACGGTTTATCCGATATTAAATAAAATAAAATAAAAGATTTTAAGACTTATATGAACTCACATTTTATGGTGTTTGAACTCAGATTAGCTAGTTTAGCTCAATTTATCTACATGAAAAGACCACAAACCGAGGCCTAGCTGCCGGTTAATACAGTCTCCTAAGCATCTAATTGTGTGTGAATAAGTTAAGAGGATAAAAAAACTTACAGGGGTTTAACTACTGAAGCACTTCAGGAGATTTCTGAATGACTGAAACTCTGAAAATGACACGTAACATTCCTCAAACCCGAATACCTTGTTTGGCTTCCGGTTCAGCAGAGTTGCGTTCAAACAGTCGGGGGTTACACATTCAGCATCCGGTGAGAACTTTAAAAGTAAGGTAAGTTCCGGAAAAATATCTGTTGAAGTCCGCTAACCATCTTTATTAAATATGCAAATTTGAGATTTGTTGTCAACATGTATAATTTATAACGGATACTACGCACCACTGCTTCGTTTTACATTAATCTAAAATGTATTGGAAAAAATCTACAAGTCAGGTCATATCGTTTCCGGTTCTTATGCGTTATTCTGACTAACTTGGTGGCCATCCTTTACTTCTGTTGCCGAGTCAGGGATGTTAAACTTAACCATTTGTCCAAAATTAAACAATTTTTTAACTCTATAAATAAATATATTATTGTTTTAAGGCAAATAAACAGGAATCTAGTTTCCGCGTGTCGCAACTATTCGATCATTTTTATTTAGACTTTTTTAAATTTCCATTTAATGACAAATTGTGGTATGTCCCAAACAACTTAAACCCGCCTCTTTCACCCTTCTGACCAATCAGAGAAAAACAGCGTGGCGAGAAGGGAAAATTAAAGGCGAAGTGTAACTTTACTACAGCTGAAACAGAGCGTCACAATAATCCTGACCGACCTGACTGTTGTATTCTGGCTGTAAAATCATTTTAGATCAGATGACTGTGCGTTAAATCAGTCAGTAGTTTGCCGTTTAATGTGTCCCAGAAAGGATTGCGTTCAGGCTGCGAAACTAAAAGACAGAATTTAATTCAAACTTTATAAAACACGACATAAAACCTTATCTATCCCGAAAGGAAATTAAACGTAGTGGTACTTCTGACCATCCAAGTATCTTCAAAGAGTTGTTGTGGGTGGTGATGTTGAGAGCAGGAAGGATCTCCAGTAGCAGTCAATCTGGCAATGAATCTGAGTAGGCCTCTGACTAAAGATAATTTCTGCATGACAGCTTCATGCCAACAATTCAGTTTCTGGGCAGCAGAGATGATATAACACAGCAACATGTCCTGGATGATGGCATCAGTTGTTGGTAAACACTGCTATTTCACTTAGTTTGCTTTTGCTGCTCTTATTTAGTCTTTGCATGGTTGGATAGTTAGGATGCCAGGCAGAGAGATGTTGGAGTAGGGGATAAGATGATGGTTTGAACTTTGGTTCTTTTCTTCTTGACTGTGATTTGGGGTCGTAGTTCAGGTATAACTTGAACCTTTCAGAAACTAAACAGCTGCTCCCAGTTGCAAAAACAATACACTGTCGCCACGGTTACGCTTTACAAATATTCTTTATATTATTATTTATCTGCATTACATTCATATATTTATGGTTTAAAAAGTTGTGTTAATGTGTACCCAGCAGGTCAATAAAGAAATAAACATTCAAATTAAGAAGGTAAATGAAATAAAGATATAACTGAACTACCCAAATGATAGTATGAATCCATCATGGCGTCTTTGTGTTTCCCTGCAGGGAATGAACAGATTTTGGTTTTTCATTTCGTTCCAATCAATTCGCACATCAACCAGAGACTTCAGCAGTTTATTCTGAGTTACAATATAAGGACATTAATTCCCATTTACAGTTCATCGCAAAAGTATTTGAAGAAAAACATAGTTTTCCTTCCTCTGTGCAGTCATGCCACTTTGTGATGGTTCATAGCATTAATTCCCAATTAAACATTGTTTTTGTGGTTCCAACAGTGTAGCTGCTTCTTAAGGAGTTAAGGAAACATAAAAATGAAGATTTAGGAGTTTGAGCTGAATGTCAATCTGTTCCAGGGCTGGGCAATATGGCTTAAAAATGAAATCAGTTTCTTTCATACCAGATCTGATTTTAATCTATTTTTTCTTAATTAATTACACAGGAGAGAAAGTATTTCTAAACAGTGTTTTGTTTCTATCATCGTTTCAGTGAGTTGAATGATGGCATATTAGGACCAGGCTAGCAGAATAAAAATGCAATTTTATCAGAAAAACATATAAAAATGAACAAGAAAAAAAGTTTTTAATGAGAAAAAAGTTTGGCTAGAGTTTTCAGAATCGGACATGAGCTGCTCAGATCGAAAAAATAATTTAAACTATTATTTAACGCATTAGCAGTATTTTTTTTTATTAATTATTTGTAAAACTTAAACCAAAGTATAACTCCACAAGATGCTCAACATTCCCAATTTAAATTTAAATTTTTCATGTTGGAGTTGTCATAAAATTACTACCTTATTTTTGCATTATACTGACTATTGTTGTACGACTGCATGCTTGTAAAACTATTTTCATAATTAAAAATAAAAAATCATATCTTGACTGTAATACTTTGTAATAGAGCTGTAAAACATGCAATATGGCCGCCATCACTCTGAACTAAGGAAACCCAAAGATCGCATTGGTAAGAAAAAAATCCAGATTTTCCCAAAATTTTAACTTCAAAATCTGATTAATTGATAACATTGACTTATCGCCCAGCCCTAATCTGAACTTCACAGAGCAACAGCATTAGGCATCATTAATAATAATAATAAAAATAATAATAATCTCATGATAAACAATATCTTAATGTTTCCTTTTAATTCTGTCCAGAAGTGATAACAGTAACTCAGTCTGTTGGAACTGCTGCGAAGTAAAATAATCTTCCTAGTGCTTTTAATTAAAACTGAGCGCTGAATATCAGTGCTGACAATTAAATAACTGCAAAATGAACTGAACCACATCTTCATGAGTCCAACAGATCTCTGGGGAAGCAACGTCTCTCAAAGGCAGCGTCGTGTTCATCTGCAGGAGGAAGTTAAAGCATCTTAATGAAAAGGTCAGAGGTCACGAGTTCCATAGGAGGTCGCAAACCAGCGCGATGTGGTCGGAGGGGTGAGCCACGCTGGGCAGAGCCTTGTGGGTGGTGACCTCCTGGTGGCTGGGCAGAGGAATCACTTGCTCCACCTGCAAAAATAATCAGGTCAGGTTCAGGTAAAGGTAAAAATAATCATCATGGAACAAGGAAAAGCATGAAGCTACCTGCATGCTCTGCGGCTGGATGAAGATGTAGTCCAGGCAGCCATGGAATCCTCCCACGTAGTTGGTGTAGGCCGGCTGCCCGCAGGCGCTCTGCAGCGGCGGGAAGGTGGAGCTCAGCGCCATGCAGCAGGACTCCTCTGGACCCGAGCTGCTCCAATCCGCGTGCTGCGGAGGAACCGCCGCCTCGCTGAGCAGCTGGACCACACCTGGAGACACGAGATCAGCCAGCAGATCAGTTCAGCCTCTGGTGACCAGACATGGAGCAACCTGACCTTTGACCTGTTACCTGAGTCTGGAGTGGAGTTGAGGTCACCACAGAAGACCAGTGGTGCTCCAGGTGCAACGTCAGCAATCACCTGGCTCAGGTGCTGCAGAGCTACGCCCATCTGGACCAGGCGAACATTTCCGCCTTCAGCATGAAATCAGGTTCAGTTTAAAGGTTAATTAACTCAAAACTGTACAAAAAAATAAATCTATTTTGCATTTAAGATAAAAAAAACAATGTCTGCAACTATGTTCTTTACAAAACTCCTCTAGTGTCAGTTTTAGCCTCATCTGGTTCAAATTCAGCACAAAATCACATTAAACACCTTTTACTACCTAATTATTGATAAAAATAAATATATGAACAAATCAGCTGCACACTGTGCTGATGTTAAATCAAGCAGAAGGAGCTGAAGGTGTCATCTGTTGGTGTCCTTTGCTACAAATGATATAAATAATGTTTATTTTCTTATTTATATTTACTTGGATCTTTTAATGTATTTCTAATATTGCATAAAAAGGCTTAAATGTATAAAATCTGCAGAATGTGCCCATTTTTAAAATCCAATTACTCATCAGAATAATCGATAAGTAAAATAATTGTTACCTTTTGGATGCCAGTACAGGTGAGTGTTGGCCACACACACCTTCCTCTCTGGGTTAGCCAGGTCTTCGAGCACAGAGACCTGCAGAGGACATGAAAGCTGACTACAACCGCCCAGCAGTCAGTGAGCTCACATCCAGTCCCCGCAGGAAGCTGCAATCACAGCTAAATTCACTCATCACTCACAAATGTTGCTTGGACTGACATTTTCACCAGTCATCAGGCAACGAACAGCGATGTTTAGCAAAGCATGACTGAAACTCACAACCACAAAACATTAAAGTACTGCTTAGGGCTGGCGCAATAAATCAATAATTTCCATTTCTATTGATTTTCTCTTCAATCTGATGCTTTAATTTGATGCTTTAATCTGAACTAATCCTTATTATGAAAGACAATTTTGTTTACAGAGATTTAATAATTCATTTTATTTGTTGTTTTGTTTATTTTGGATATTTAATATGTCTTCCAGTATTAAATGTTCATCAGAATTTAAAGTTTATTGATCTTTGAGAAAGTGTTCTTGCATTATTGTACCGTTACCATCATATTACTTGAAAATGGTCTCAAAACAACAATATTATTGTTTATTGCAATAACTTCTGGGACAATTTATCATCCAGCAAAATTTGTTTTCATGACAGGCCAGAAAAAACATTTTAAAATTGCAAGAAAAATGTTGTTTCAATAAGAAAAGGCTTGGATAATAATTTTTTTGCATTGGAGTTTTTCATTTTCTACCACTGTCTCCTTGTAATACGAGTTATCATTGAATCTGTAGAATCTGTAAAACATGGCTGTCAAACAAGATGGCCGCCCTGGGCGTGATGACATCACTGCACTTTGAAAACCTAAGGAGAGCATTGGCGGAAAAAAATCTAAATTTTCCAAAAATTTAATTCTAAAAAAAAAAAAAAAAATTGCTTAAATGGATAAAATTGATTCATCAACCAGGCCTAGGAGGTGCTTGACAAAGTTATTTGCACTTTAAATATTAACTTTGTTAAATCTTTTTTGGGAACGTTATGAGGAAATTAACCTTTTTTTGTAAGACCACATTATGACAAAAACAAAGCTTGAAGAAAAAATGCAACTTTTTGAAAAAAAGGTGCTGCAAAAGCAGTAATTTTATGACGCATCTGTCACAAAAAGACATGCCGACTGCATGAGCAGCCAGTTTCTAGCTGTACCTGCAGTGATGTGGACCTCTTCAGGATCCTGTCCTTCAGGTCGCTGTTCGCAGAAAGCTTCTCCAGCAGCTCAGAGTGTAAGGGGTCAGAGGTCAGGGCCTCGCTCAGCATGATGTCATGACTGCTGAGCAGGCGAAACTTTGACCTGAAAAACAGCAGGGTGTTATTAGCATGCAGCTCAGCAGGGGGCAGTAGTGAGAACAACCAGACTGAACACAAACAGATTCTACTGGCTCCATTACCAATAACTCCATTATAATTTCTTTTCTTTTCTTTTTTTCTTTTTTTTTAAGAAAATAAAGCTATAAAATTTATTAAAATCAAATCTGGTCTGAAAATCCCCGATACGTTATTTTTAAGGCATATCACCCGGCCCTACCTCTGGCCCAGTTGGATGTTTAATAAAAATCAAAAGATAAACTGGACCGAGCATTTTTCCACATGAATCCAGTTAATAAGAGAAGAAATACTGAAACTGGGTTTTGAAGCTAATCCAAATGCATGAAAAATAACCTTTAATGGGATTAAATTACAGTTTCTTCTGGACTAACCTGCGGTAGAACGTAGCCAGTCCTTCATGCTGCTTCTCTTTGAGCCTGAAAACGCCGTCCAGACCGAAAGCATCCAGCGCCGGAGTCAGACTGTCCACAAACACGCCTGAAGAGTCCAGAACATTAAGACTTAATATCTATTAAAAACTTTATATTGAAGCTGTTAATATAAATGTTTTGGTCAAATGTTTGAAACTGGAAAAATTATTTTTTTTACACTCACTAAATTCCATCCAGAAATATCTAAATTGCTATATTTTTATATCAAAAGCTTCAATCTGGACAAATAAGTTTGTAGATGCTAGTTTTTTGAAGAAGCTTTATAAAATAATTCATTTGTAAATTTACATTTATTTTAAAATCGAGCAACAACATCAAGCTATTCCCCAAGATTTAAATTATCCTGTGCAACAACTTGTTTTTGCTGATCTCATAAAATAAATCAAAATTCAGGAAAACTATAGAACTAAAAGGTAGAACCTAACAAGACCAGCATATTATGAACACAGAGAGGTCAGAGGTCACAGCCTTCTTTACGCAAAAATAAGGTATAAATACATTTAATAAAAAGTTCATTTTGAATCTAAGGCAAAGGAAAAATTTCAGTATACTTTAAAAAACCTGCAAAAATGGTGGAAACGTTATAAAATAACTGGATGGATGGATGGAGCCCGTTCACACAAGAAAGAGAAAAAGAAAGAAAGAAAGAAACAAAGCTATGAATGAAATAAAAGAAACGATCAAACAAATAAACAGAAAACAGATGAGGAACAAAAAGAAAGAAAGAAACAAGAAACAAAGAATGAAAGAAAAATAATGAAATAAAAGAAACAAATAAAGAAAGAAAAACAAAGAATGAAAGAAACGAGAAAAAAATTAAACCAGCAAACACAGAAAGACACGAAAGAAACACAGACAGAAGGAAACAAAGAGAAAGAAAGAATTATGACATCAAACTACAAGCCTTATTAAACAGAAATCTCATCGTTCTTGTGTTTAGTAAACTCTCCTTTTCTAGTGTTTAATTGAAAGTGGACCAACTCCTTGGGGATTGTAATGTTTAATGAACTGGTGAATCTTCAGTTTTGGAGCTGCAGTCACCTTTATCCACTTCCTGCAGGCAGATGATGTCAGCGTTGTAGCCCGCCAGCTCCTTCTTGACCAGGTTCTGCCGGTAGTCCAGCTGCAGGGCGTAGGGGGCGCAGTAGGGGTACAGCACCGTCTTGGACAGATCCGTTTGGGCGTAGATGTCGGCCAGGATGTTGTAGGACACCACCCTGAGCGCGGGCCACGCCGCGGCCCTCAACGTGTACGCGTGGCGGTTGTCAAACGTGCACACGCCCGGCCCTGCCTCCACAGTTGCCACAGAGACCAGTTCTTTGGCCTGGCCGGTGCGGCTGCCATCTTTGGGAGTGCAGCGCAGCTTGAGCCTGCAGCCGATGTCCTGATTGGACGGGACGAGGACTCGCTCGCATCCGACCTGCGTCCATCCGCCTTCTGGAGCCGGAGAGTCTTTAGGACTGAAGTTAGAAACAAACATGAGGGACAGAAGACGATTCAACAACAACAACACAGACGGTCTAGTCAAAGCATCTGCAACCTTTACAATCAAAAGATAATACATGATCTTTAAGAAAAAATACTTATTTTAATTTTTGATAAATATATAATATAGAAAATGTGTTCTTGTGCTGAAAGAAACAATTTTCTTTCCATTTTTAGGTTACAAATCTAATAAATATGCAAATATTCAGCAATAAAATGTGTGGATTTTCCTTTTCTTCTAAGGGATGTTGACATCTGTAGCAGTGGCGCAACTGCACATTATTCAGGTGGATGCGAAAACATAAATCGGCGCCCCCCCTCACCCCCCGGAGGAAGGAACGTCAGTGTAGAAAACATACGCTCGCTCCATCTCTTATTTTTTCAAATCAGATTTTTATTTGTCTACTTTCTTTTCTGAAAAAGTGGAAAGTTTTTAAAAAGTGGCTTTTATTTAAATCATTCCTTGTAGCAATGAGTATTTGGGTCAGGATATGAGAATTAAAATTTTGTTTATAAACAGTTCCAGTGTTGGGCGTAGGCTTGTCACAATTATCAATAAATCGATTAATTGCATGGTCAATTAAAATGAGCTAGAAAAATTCCCATCTGTATGATTTAGCATTTTCCTCTTCTCTCTTTCTACCAAAAACTGGATGATAAAAATGTTCAGTTTGGTGCTTTGATCTCAACTAGACATCTTTTGAAGGACAGTTTTGTTCATACAGACTTCATAATTAATTTCATTTGTTGTTTTATTTATTTAAAATGTCTTCCAGTTTCAGTGTTAAATGTTCATTAGTTCATTATTGATTTTTGAGTTTACTGATCTTTGAAAGCAATGTTTTTAATATTGCTTGTAAATGATCTCAAATCAACATTAATGTTTAGTGCAATAACTTCTGGGACAGTTTATAGTCCAACAAAATGTGTTATTGTGACAGGCCCATGGCAGTTGTGTCCAGGCCTATGACAACTTTTCTACCTTTCAACGATAAACTCAACTTTTCTGAAGCTTGCATATTGTTAAGCATCCAAAACATAAAAGAGCTTCGGGCTGTTGCCTTATTAAGAGAAAATCGGACGTTTATTCTATTTCAGTGGCCAAATAGTTACCATTATTGACTTGTACTCTGCAGCCAAACAAAATCATTTCAAGGGCCAAAAGTGCTCCCCTGGCCGCTTTAATGAATAGATTAAACCGGACCCAGTCTTTTAAACAATACTGTTGTGAAATAAACAACAATCCACAGTTACCTTGAATTTGCTTCTTTGAACCACACAAACTCGCAGTCCTGGAGGTTCCCAAACTCCACCTGCAGCTTGGGGCAGACTGGAAAGCCTGCCATGAGGGACACTGGGAGCTCAGCTGTGGTGAAAGTGGGAGCGTTCCTCTGAACATTGTATTTAACTTCTCCCACCTGCAGCACCGCTCCGTCCTGCCAAGCCTCGCAGTTTGGCAGCGTGTCGGGAACCTCGTCCCCCCTGAAGAACAGCTTCACCACGGCGGTTTCCGCAGCCTCGCTTGGCTGCTGATCCCTCTTCTTCTTTGACTTTTTCGCCTTTGTTTGGTTCTTGGCGATTGAGTTGGAGATCCGAGTCAGGACCTTCCCCAGCGCCTCGTTCTGGTCCCGCAGCATGTGTTTTTGACTGTCCTCCAGGAGGAAGGAGATAGTGAGCTTCGGCTCCCCGGGAAGGCACCGCACCACGGCCGCCTCCATCCGACCGAGAAGGCGGCTGGCTCTGCTAAAGGTACGCGGAGAGGAAGCGAGGAGACAGCGGGGGAGCAAAGCGCAGGCAGCGGACAGGTGCTTCAACATGAAGCCCTCGGAGGATGGAAGAGGAAATTACCCCAAAATATCAGCAGCAGAAGAAGAACTAACCGAAGCAGACAAAGCTAGCAGGTTAGCCCGATGCTAAACGCCCAATAAATGAGCAATTTAAATTAACCTCCACTAAAGTGTTTAAAACATAAACACATAAGTTCTAAAACAAAAATGCGCATATAAAGATAAGCATTAATACTAGCAAAAGACGGTATTTAAAAACTTAACGAGCTACTTCTTCTGTATGTCAGTGTTTTTCAGATAGCTCCATTCGTCCAATAGCACCTCCACTGGCCAAAAGTATAATAACATATGGCAATTTGTTAATATACAAATTGCCATATATTTGTATATTGTTGTATACAAATATGGCAATATACAAAAAATATATATTGAGACAATAATATAATTTATTGTCTCAATAAATTAGACTGAAACAGACATGCAAGTAATTAATTTTTTAACGTGACCTTCATGGCGAGGGTCATGTCTTACGTTTATCTTTAGTTGCATTGATTACTGCAACAGTATCAGATCTGCCTAAAAAAATCAGTCCTCCTATCTTATTTCCCATATAACATTGGAAAAATAATCTCCCATCGGAACTAGCACTTTTTCATCAATATTAAGTAGTAATTAAGAAGTCTACATTATAGAAAAACTTACATATTCTCTGAGACTACAACTAACACAAATAGAATAACAGTGGACAAAATGAACACTATTCAAAACAAAAGACAGCGACGAAAGACAAAGAAAGAACTGGACAAACTGGATGGGACAAAGGTGTAATAGAAGAATAGCTCCCAAGCAAAAGTTTTATATTGCATAATGTTGAATGTGAATTGTTCGTGTTTGTTTTATTTGTAAACAAATGCAGAACATGGTAATAAATAGTTAAATGATAAATATTAAGTAATTATTGACTGAAAACAAGCTCATATCTTTCTGAAAAGATTGTTGTAAATTAATTTGTCTTCATTAAAGTGTAATAAGACATTTGCATAGGAAACTAGACATAAAAAGTAGGGGTCCGGAGCCCCCCCCGAGGGTCGGAAAATGATACTAAGAATCATTATTATGTGAAACCTGAGGTTGACAGAGTGCCAAAATAAGAAAAACCTAAATTAATAACCATGTGAGGGATTTACCCCTCCCTAACAGGTGCTGTTTTTTGTGTACTTTATATATTCTAATTTATTTGGGTAAATGTATTGTGTTTGGGGAAGTAACTTGATTTATTTACTTGTTTTAATCATCTTCTCATCTCTTTGAGGTCACCTGGTTGTGTGTTGCCATGGAAGTGCGCTCTTACAAACTGGACACTCTCTTGATGGTTTCTCTCTCCACCAGCTCTTCAGACATTCATTACAGAAGCTGTGGCTACATGACAGAACAACCGGATCCGTAAAGACGTCCTGACAGACCGGACAGCAGAGATCCTCCTCTAACCTGGAAGCCATTTTGTCTCTGAGTGAAGCTGAAAACACAGAAGGTCCAGTCAGTCTCGGCTCCATCCCTCCTCTACTAACTTCCCTCAAAGTGACTCTGAGTGTTTTGGTCCAACTCACCTCCAGTGTGAGCAGCTTGAAGCAGCAGAGTTGGAGGTTTCCACTTTTCTCTCCTGCAGCTGGACTCACTCAGAGGAAGCTGCTAGTTTGGTCTGAAGGTGAATCTGATCGTCTGGGAGTCTCTCTGCAGGAACCAACGATCACAAACTGTTTCCTGCTTTAATTAAGCTCCAACTGAAGCGTGTTTCACTCCAAAGTCTAGAATTCAGCCTTTAGGATGTTGTAAAACTCACTGATTAAGTTTTTTTTTCTCTGCACAGATCAGAGCGGAGGCCAGATCTCTGAAATAAAGACAGTAGAGTGAACCACATTCAGTGCTGCAGTTGTTGGTTCTGACTGAAATCTGTAAACATGAACATCATTCGGGATTAATTAGACAAACTCAGCTGTCAAAGAAACTTGTTCATGATCACTGTTAGTCCAGATGTGCTGTTTTTTACTCAATATGTCTAAATAAACTCAAAGAGGAACAGAATATTAATCAAGAACCAAACAGAATGGTTGAAGATAAACCTACAGAACCGTTTAAAGCCCATTAAACGGCAGATGATCCATCTCTGCAGAAGTCTGAACCTCCTCAACACAATCGGCACAAAGTCTATAGAGTTTCAGTGGAGGACTCATCAAATACTTCCTCTGCATGAATGTAATGAATGACCACAATCCTATCAGATATGGTCAGAACTAAAGAGGCTAACAGATTCATTTTGGATCTTAAAGACAGCTGGAAATCCTTTGGGATCCAAACTGCGATCCAGTCTATTGTAAGCAGGGAGAGGATGGGGGAGATGATGCCCCCTGTCTCACCCCAGACTGAACAGGGAACCATTCAGTGAGTGTTGTCCATCAGGACACTGCACTCAGAATATTCATATTAGATTTATATGACTGTAATTATCTCAGGTGAAATCCCAGAGTACTGAAGAATCTTCCAGAGGATTTTGGTCCGATGGACTCTAACAGAGCAGCTTTCTAAGAAGTTTTACAGAGCAAAGATCTGGTCAATACAGCCTCTTTCTTTCCTGCTTGTTCTAGTTGGAGCCTGGAGTCGATGGCCGGTTTCGCTCCATGAATAATGTTGGGCGTCCATTTACTGAAACAAACAGACATCACTGCTGAAACCGACCCGGATCAGCGCCTCCACTGAAAAGAAACGTTTGTTAAAAACTGACAGATCAGACATGAAGAAACTTCTCCTGGTTTATGAAAACAAATCAGCTTTTATTTATGATTTATTGATTGAGGGTTTCACCACTTTACTGTTATATGTGACTAAGTCATAAAAAGTTATATTTTTACAACCATAAAGATAATTTGTTGCTTTATTTTAATTTCTAGATACATCTTTGTTAAAAAACACAAACTTCCATGTTTACTTGAAGCATACATTATTTTAGATAAAGTGTATTTCTCATAATCTCATAGCTTTTATTGTTTCCCTCCAAGATCCACTCACCCAGAAGTTTACATACACCCCAATAAAAAGACATATCCACATTAAATCAGACTAAACTCCTCTTGTTTTAGTTTAGAATCACCAAAATTATTCCTATTTGCTAAATGTCACAATAATGAAAGAATCTGTCAGAAATTTACATATAAATGTCTTCAAGCCCAGAAGTTTACATACAGAATGACTATTGAGGGAAAGCTCAAACTTCATTATTGTCCTTTATATTGTGCAGAAGTCATATTCCAGATTTAATAGAAAATCACAAACATTAAACATTCAGGTCTGGATTCTGTAGAACCCGGCTCATCATGAGAGAAAGGGAGACGCATATTTCCAGAAATAATTTCTAACAACTTAAACCCAATGGATCCAGATGTTATCTGTGAATATTAACTCAGAAATAAAGTTTGAGTCTAGTATCATGAAAAACATGAAGTGAAGAATTGAACCAAAGTCTCAGAGTTTCAGCTAAAGTATTAAATCCAAATAAGTAAAATTAACAACTGTGTTAAAAGAATAAAGGTTTTACACCAAGAAACACTGAGATCAGTTTATCAGAGCTGCTGTTTGATCACTGAGATCTTCATCGGTAAGAGTTTTGCTTGACCTAGAATGCAGAAGTAAGGAAGCATCTTGTCAGTGAAGGTGTGTGTGAAGGTGTGTATGTGTGTGTTAGTATCCAGATCAGAGAACGACAGCTTTCCTCCATCCCAGTCCAGATTCACTCTGATCCTCTGGAGTTTCTTCTGGACTAAGAGAAACTGGAGAGTTGGTGCTGGAGACCATGTATAGTTTTCATTTTCACAGAACCATATGGCCATACATCCAGACTGAAGGTCCCCCTTCCTCTGCTCAGACTCTGCTAATACTCCAAGTTCCCAGTAATCACTGTCTCCAACATCAACATCCCAGCTGTGGTTCCCTGAGTTAAAACCCTCAGAGCTCAGGACAGAACAAAAGTAATCAAATCTCTCTGGATTATCAGGAAGCTGCTGTTTCTCTCCTGGAGTCAAACTGGTCAGATCTTCAGACAGAAGGAGGTTTGGATGAGTCGTGTTTGGGTCCAGAACCAGAGGAGTGTAGATCACCATGTCCTTCATGTTGCTCCAGATGTT